TTAATGCAATAATGTTTCACACAAAAGATTGTATGCTATACTCTATACAATCAAGACATAGAATTTGTATAAATATGTTGACTCCGAAAACATAGAAAACTATCCCTTAATTAGAGTAGAAAAACGACGAATAAAAATATTGATTTATAATACATTTCTATTTAGACAGGAATATAAGTTCTTTCAACATTTTACATACAATTTTGTGCAATATTTGTCAAAATGTATTTAGATTTTTATATATATAGAAAATAAATATTATAATTGATTTAATATTGAATTAATATATAAAACAATGAATTAAATTGTAATTATTAAAGAGAACATAGAGGTTTAGCATTAACCATGTTCTGAGCGCATCCCAACGGCATGTGCGACAGCCTTAAAAGAAAATCAGTAACTTTTGCAAAACAAGTGATGAATGCACTGATCGGTGACAGCAGTACATAAAGTTGACATGAGATGAGACCAATTGGGATGGCTATGAACAACATGATGGCCAACCAGAAGAATGTCCAAAAACACTGTGTTAGCGGTGATGACAGTTGTGCGGGTCCTGTGGACACCGTTTGGTGCGACGATATGTGTGATTGTGGCAAATGATACGGATTTCGGCGACTATCGTAAAACACAGGTGTTGTGCCGTGACTTTGGTTTCTGTTCGTACAAAACAATTGTTAATATAATTTTGGAGACAATACAAGACAATTAACAAAATTAGTGATATATTAGTTTAATGAAGTTTAATCATCAAACATCCATTAATAGTATAAATGAGATGCAGACCTCGAAGCGGGCGCTTCTACGAGAATGGGCGAAAATTTCCACATTCCTTCTCAATGAATAATATGTGATATACCGATGAATATAATTGTAAGCCTTTTGAACGTCTTTTAAAACCAAAAACTTTTTTATTTCAGTCTTTCTAAAAGAGAGTAAAAATTGTGATGACTTGACAATAATATTGAAGAACAGTTAAGTAAAGTATTGAGTGAAGACAAAGACGTGTACGACATGTGCAACAATTGTAGAGATCAACTGATTTTGTATTCGTTGCCTCCAAACAGTTGCACAAAATGTTTGCGATGAAAAAAATGCAA